GTTTATCTCTTAATAATCTATATTGGCTGTTATAACTTGTGATTTTCCACAGATCACTCCACGACATTTTCCTGTTCTGTATGCATTGCCCACCCCTCCCTTTTTCTGTTCCTCCTTACCTGAGCTCATATAGATAAGTTAACCAATAACCTTGTACCTCCCCAACCATTTTTATCCTAGAAACATTCTCTCCTGAACCCACAGCTCTGCCAGCATTGTATCTCCGCCACCCTTTTTATCTTAGCAAAATTCTGCACCTAGCCCTCAGCCAACAGCCCATTTTCTGAGATCACTGTGCTCCAGATGTCCCTTGTAAAACTCCTCGGACTCCCACCCTGTCATGTGAACCTCAACCCTGTTTTGTGGTTTTTGCGAGTAAAAGCTGTATCCCCACTATGTTAGCACACAGAGGTTGTCAGTCTCCACTGCTCCCTGCCTTGCTGGCTTCCAGCTAAATAAAGCTCTTCTTTTTCTTCAACAACATCTTGACTCATTCTGAGCAACATTTGAGGATCTCATTTCAGGGCTAGAACATTTGGGGGCTCGTCTGGGATAGACTGAGATCACAATGAGTTCCCTACTTTCAGCTAGAGCCCTTTTTGGCTTCATTCGACCACCAGCCTCACAACCTGCTGAAGGACCTCTGTAAGTACATTTTGAGACTCCTAATCTGCACTTGACTTATCTGTCTATTTTAGAGAATTTGTTTCTTTGTAGGGAATATTTGTCTATTCTCATTTGTCAAATTAGGTGGTCTTACAGGGATTTTTGGTTGTGAAGGCATATTATACCATCCTCTTAGAGAACAAAAGGCCTTAGATAGTAGTACTATTAAGTGTCTTGTCTGCATCTTTTGTGTTTTCAGTGTCAGTGTCATTTGTGTCCTTCTAAGGGAACATTTTTCTGCACTGGACATGGGGCAAGGAAATTCAACCACCTCCATTGATCCATTAAAGCTGTTCTTAACCATTTTAAGGAATTTAAACATAGAGCCCGAGGCTATGGAGAATCAGTTCACCCAGGGCACCTCCAGGTCTAGAATGGCCACAGGGGGTTCTGGGTTGGCCAACCGAAGGTTATTTTGACATGCCTCTCATGGAGGCTGTTCAGAGATACGTCTTCAGCCCCCCTTCCCACCCTGACCAAATTGTTTATAAGGTTTGGATTGATCTCATATATGATTCTCCCTCTTGGATAAAGAAATATACACAGGCTTCTTTGCTACAGCCTCAGAACCCCACACTGCTGGCGCCCTTGAAGGACAAACCGAAACCAACAACACCAGCCTTAGAGGGAGATACCGAGAAAACCTTGCACCCCCACTTACTGCGTGACGGGTCAATGATCCCCTAGAGATGAGGAGCCCACTTCTCCTGAAAGATTCCCTCCAGAACTCAGTCCCATTTGAACTCGGAGTCATTACAGACAGGGCTCCCAAGATTCCTCTTCTGCCATCCCTGCCTTGCTCCCCCTGCAAGAAGTCCCCAACCCTGAGGACCCAGCTCACCCTGTTTTTACCTATGTTCCTTTCTCTACTTCTGATTTGTATAACTGGAATGGACAAAACCTGTCCGGCACCGCGTCTGTCCCGCAGAATGAGGCACACGAACACTTTGTCTCTGCAGGCTCCTTTATTGACTGGGCTACAACCTCAATACACGTCCGTCCTTGACAGCTTCCTACGTGTTGTGCGTCGGGCACTTCCTATACTTGGGCTTATATAGCTAATGTTATCCAATCATGGGATTACACGTGGGGACAGGCGATTGGGCGGCAACAAGGAAGCAATCAATCATTACCATATATGGCGGGGACAGTAAGCCGAGCAAGAACCAGGAAGCAGGATGTGTGCGCCATCTTGGGCACACGATGGGTGGGGGAGCAGCGAGGCGGTAGGCGGATGCCATCCTGTGGCTATATTCTCATGGGTAATACGGCAAGCTCCCAACATTTCCCCTTTTCTTATTTACAAGGAAGGACAGCGAGACCTTCCAAGTGACTACAGAGGTCTGTACCCCGCTGTGCATGGCTCTGAGGTCATCCCCCGGCACAGGTTGGCCACCCCCGCGTCGGAAAGGACCTCCAAGCCTCATCCTTTTGCGCAGGGCTAGGGTAATTCAGATGAAACCTAGATGCATACAGACATATAGCCTGACGTCTCTCTTCAAAAACCCCAAGAGTAGAATGTCATGCAGTACCATCTGGTCTCACACCTTGGTACCTCTCGCTGTCTTAATGGAACGGGGCCTGTCTTAGGTTGAGCAAGGTGGGGTACCTTGATCTTACCCGTCTTCGGCTCGCCCATTCATCATCCTTATAACTGATGCTCTGCAACATGAAGGAGATATGCAGTCGCCCGACCACCAGATGGGCCAGCCTCTGCCAGCTGCATAGCCGCCATGGCTGTAAATCTGACTTGTTGTTGAGTCTGCATCAAGCAATCAAGCAAGCATTTAACAACCACTAATCCAACCAGGATAGCAACAGCAATAAAAATCCAGGTAGTCAAATTGGGCCAGGAGAACCAAGAGGTGACATGATTCCATAAACCTTTTAGAACATCACTCAGGGTAGACAAATCAAATCTAACCAGGTTCAACTGAATTTTTTCTATTTCGTCTAATTCCTGACTAACAATCATTGACAGGTTGTGAAATTTTGGCAAATAAGTGTCCTGCAGCCATTTAGTCATAGTCTTTGTAGTTTCAGTCAGGTTGGTGTGAACAGGGGTGACGCAGACCCGGAAAGGCAGCCACCTCTGATCACAGAGTTGAGTGGCAACCTGCCACAACATATCAATCTCCTGCCCGATGAGCTGGATCTCTTCTTGTAGCCGAAGTATAGCCTGGCTGTTAAGCTCAATCTGTTGCCTTTGAGCCTTGATGGTCTCTCGTGTGGCGTTGCTCAGCCGATTGACTGCATCCATGGTCAGCGCGAGCTGCTCGGAGGTCCATGCCTGCAAAACAGCCTGTCCCACTGCAGGGACAAACAGAGAAGAGACCACCCCCGCTGCCTGCCACAACCAATCTTTTATCCCTCCTTTTGTTCTGGTTGGCAACAAGGAGAGTGTCCTGGGCTTGGATGGGAACCCAAAGATAGCTTGGACGATATGCTAGAATGGTGAAGGCCGGGTAACCAGTCCAACAATTAGAGAGTGAGCAAGAGGTCTCATTGCTATCGGATGAATTACAATGGAAGGTGTGCTGATGAGAAAGCACAAACACAAACGGGGGGTCTACACAGACCTCTGTGTTGAGTGGATGGGTCCCGTTTGACGCGCCTGTCACGTTAGCGGTGGAGGTATTGGACAGCGTCTGATTAAGTGTCATGAAGGGGCAAAGGTCCAAACATGCCCCCATTGAATAATTCTGAAGCTTAGTTAAATTACCCTCTTTTCTAGGGTGGGTGGTCCAGAGCCACCATGCCTCACGGGTTATAGGATAAGGGTGGATAACTGAGACACAGCGGCACCAAAAGAGCTCTGCCAGTCTGGTTATTCTAGGGATGTTTGTATCGCAGGATTCGAAGAGTGGGTGCCTCGGGGCCTGGAAGTCCTTACTACAGTCGGGCAAGATGGGCCATCATGCCTGATTAAGGGTCAGGCATGTTTTTGGGGACTTTAACCCATCTGAGGAATTGATTCTGGCTGTGCCCTTGCATTCCATGCGCGTCCAATTCACAAATTCCAGCAATGGTAGGGTTAAGTTGGACCTCTCTAGGGTAATAGACAAATTTGCATATGACAGTATAATCGTGTCAGGGGTAAGCGGGAAGGACATATTGAACTCACAATGGGTGTGTGAAACACGTTTATGGGGAAGGTCTAAGACAGTTTGATTGATAGTGTATACCGTGGGTGATGCAGGAGATGTTGTGGAAAAGGGGGCCAGGGTAGGAGGATGATGCCAAAGACCCCAGAGATATTGGGTGTCCTCTGCACCAGCCATGCTAGCAGCGGCGGCAAGCAATAGTGTGCAGAAGTATATGCTGTAGCTTTGTTTAGGGAACCTGGTATTAATGGGGGCTCCCTGGACACCTGCGGCGGGCGATACCAAAGGGGTCCTCCAAACCTCGGTTACCTCGCATCTGGGGAAGCGATCAATTTTCGAAGCCGGGGTCATCTTCAGGTATCTGGGGTTCCACTGACCGTGGCACGTTGGAGATCCTCACCAGTCGTTCTGGAATCCACATCGGCTCCTTCCCTGGTGTCTGTGGGAAGACACAAACCGCACCTCGGGTCCAGCTGAGCACTGGGTCTGGGCCATTCCATTGTCCTGTAAGGACGTCCTTCCATTTTACCATGCCCTTGTGCATAGGGGAGGGACTGGTATGCTCCTCTGCAGGGGAGCGATCGTGTGCATTCAAGTTTAAAAAATTATATGTAAACAGGGCCAATGAGAGTCTTCCTTTCGGGGGGAGGCCATGGCCTATTCCCTCTTTTTGTTTTTGTAACACCAGCTTGAGCATTCTATGAGCTCGTTCTATAATGCCTTGTCCTTTTGGGTTGTAGGGTATTCCATGTTTGAGGGTAACTTGCATCTTATAGCAAAATTGGGCAAAAGCTTGACTAGTATATGCTGGGCCATTATCAGTCTTTAATATCTTTGGCTTTCCCCATGCGGCCCAGGCCGCCAAACAGTGATTAATAACATGTGTGACTCTTTCACCTGTTTCAGCGGTGGCAAAAATAATCTGTGAGAGAGTGTCAACAGACACATGCATATATTTAAGGGTTCCAAATTCTTGGATATGGGTGACATCCATCTGCCAGATGTGATTGGGACTTAATCCTCTAGGGTTGATCCCAACGGAGGGTGTTGGCAGGAGAACCGTGCAATTTGAGCATAACCTCACAATCTCACGAGCCTGCTGTCTAGATATCCCAAATCACGTCGCTAGGGTGCGTGCATTAACATGATACAGAGAATGGAACTCCTTTGCTGCTGAATAGGGTTCCTGGTTAAATGAAGTTTCTATCAATTGGACTCCCATTTCAGGTGTTAGTATGAGTCCGGAGGCGGCACAGAGGTCCACTCCTGCTGACCCTGGGGTAGCCCTGACTGGCTGTTCACTCCCGGAAAGGGGCTGCTGGGGGAAAGGAGGCCCGCCTTGTAGGAGGGCCCCCTCTGGCCGTTTTTTGGCTGTGAGTCTTTACGGCCAGTCAGAGAATTGCCCTCCTTATCAAAAACAGAGCGGCAGTCCTTAGCAGCATGATGGCCCTTGCGGCACCGTTGGCAAAGGCCCACTTGTCCCACGTCAGATGTCCCATATTGTTGAGAAGCGGTACCTTTACCTTCTTTGTTTGGGCAGAACCTCCTGACATGTCCTGGCTGGCCACACTCAAAACATTTTTTACTCTTTTGCATCTGCTGTTGTGTTGCTGGAGGGTGGGAGCCGAGGGCCACATTAATTGAAGCGCCCACCAGGGCTACAAGACCTGAATTAGAGAGTGGTCCCCCCACTTCTCTACATAATTTGGTCCAGGTTTCTAAACTCTTGTTTTTATGTGGTGTAATGACTGCACGGCAGTCCTTAGTACACTGCTCAAAGACTAGCTGCTTTACCAGGGGCTGCGCCACACTGAGGTCGGGGAAGACCTTGCCAGCGGCATCTAGCATCCTGGCCACAAAGTCAGAGAATGGCTCTGTCATCCCTTGCACAATCTTAGTAAGACAGGCGGTATGTTCGCCTGGCTTGGCAAGCTGTTTCCAAGCGGCAATAGCGCACTTGGTAATTTGATCATAAACTGCCTGAGGGTGCCGGATTTGATCTTGCGCATGGGCTCCCTGACCTAGTAGCATATCCTTGTTCCATCTAGCGTTGCGCTCCCTAGCGTTCTTTTCAGCTTGCTCCCCACAATACTCGTCGTTCCAAGCCTTCCAGTCCATGAATTGGCCTGGAGACAGGCATGCCTTTGCAAGCTGTGCCCAATCCGAGGGTGTCAAAGGGGTGGTTCCTATATTATCCAAAAGAGCCTGTGTGAACGGAGCATTGGGGCCATAGGTAGAAACTGCCTCTTTTAATCCCTTAACCACTTTCATGTCCAGAGCCTGATAATAAGGCGTGCCGGCCTGGTCTTGAAAGACCGGATAGAAACCGGGGATGTCATATGAGGTGAGGCCCCTACGCAGGATGTCCCACAAGCGACCATGAAACGAGCGGCGTCCGGAGGACGGAAGTGTGGCAGGGAAGGGAGGGGGCAGCCCCCAGCCTCCAGGTGCGCTCATTCCCTGGGGTGGCTCCCAGGGAGGGGCAGACGGGGTTGGTCTCGTCCCGCCTGGGGTATGTACTTCCTGTATATCATTCTCCACTCTCTGGAGCTCTTCCTCTAAGCTCTCCATCAACCCTTTACATAAGGTTCTAGAGGGCTTATTAGTCTCCTGTCCTGTATCATGGTGCGAGCATGTCTTGCCGCTGTCTTCCCCTTTTGGGCCTGTCAGAGGGCCCTCCCCTTCCGAATCTGAGGAGTGATCCAGTGAACCAGCCTCAGAGGCCCCTCTTGAACTCTCTGAGCACGCCCGCTCAAAAGCATGGCGCGCCTTCTTAAGCCCTTGAGCTGTGCCTACCATGCTTTTGGCTTTAAGACATGCCCGAACCATCTCCCATATGGGGCGGACCATAGGGTTGACACCCATCCCTTGTTCCCCAGCAAACTGAATATCACATCCTAACTTGTCCCAGGAGGGTAAAGTGAGGGATCCTGTGGGCAGAAACCATGGGGCCAAACCATTGATACATTCGAAAAACTGCAGCACCGTTTGCTTATCTATCCTAATCCCTCGCACCTTAAGCAACAACCACAGCAATACGGCGAGGGGGCCGCAGTTAACATTGCCCATCTTAACAAAATTAAAGAGCCCCGAGGCGCAATAGCCAACAGAGGCCTGCCCTTCTTTTTCGGGCAATGTCGATCCCCGCAAGGGGTTGACAAGTAGATCCCTTAAAGTGTGTCCACCAAGGGCCGGGTTAAGCCGCCGCTCACCCGCAGGTACGTACCGTTTTTCAACACAGTCACAGGAGCCGCAGAAGGCACGGGAATGGTTTCGAGTCTCTGTACGGGCCACCAGCTGTCCGGCGCCGCGTCTGTCCCGCAGAATGAGGCACACGAACACTTTGTCTCTGCAGGCTCCTTTATTGACTGGGCTACAACCTCAATACACGTCCGTCCTTGACGGCTTCCTACGTGTTGTGCGTCGGGCACTTCCTATACTTGGGCTTATATAGCTAATGTTATCCAATCATGGGATTACATGTGGGGACAGGCGATTGGGCGGCAACAAGGAAGCAATCAATCATTACCATATATGGCGGGGACAGTAAGCCGAGCAAGAACCAGGAAGCAGGATGTGTGCGCCATCTTGGGCACACGATGGGCGGGGGAGCAGCGAGGCGGTTGGCAGACGCCATCTTGTGGCTATATTCTCATGGGTAATACGGCAGGCTCCCAACAGCAAAAGAAAACTATTTCAAGTGTCTGAAGTTATAATGCAGAGATCTATTTGCATAAAATATGGCAGCCACTGTTACAGGAATCTTGACCCATGAGTTTCATGTCCAACTTCTTGCCACCACTGCCCTTGGTGTTCCTGGAAGACAGAGTAGGCTGTCTGCCCCGGTGCTCAGGCCTGCCCTGATTTCTGAGCACTTGTCTGTCCTCAACACTGTAGATTGCCCCCGTTTCTTTTTCCTTGATCATGGCTGAGCTCCAGTTACAGTGCTCTCTCTCCTGTGTCCTGGGCCATTTCCAGCCCTGCCCCAGTCATTTCCGCTGGGTGCTTTGTTCTTGCCCTGCTGCACGTAACTGCAAGTAGGGTGATGTCCTCACATTGCAATCTCTTTATAACTTCTGTCAATATTTGTCTTCTGAGAAATACAACTTAGGGTGAAAGAGATTTGGGCAGTAGTGTATGCTCTTCCTAGAGAAGGATGGAATGAGAGGGCTGGAAAATCTTTTTGAGTTAAAAAAATAGCAACCAAAATACAAACTTAAAACATTTATTCTTAGATATTCTATTATGTTGTTTTCCAAGCAAAACTGATTATGCAAACCAGAAGTTTTGGTGCACTTTGACCTCTTTGTTGTTGTTGTTTTGTTTTGTTTTACCTCACTGATGATTCTAAAACTCCAGAAGAAGCCCTTACACACTGGGAGCTCTGATATTGGCCCAGAGGAATGCTCACTTCTCGACTCTCAGAACTGCAAGACTCAAAGTTTGGCAGCAAAGATAAAGGGTTGCAGACTACAGATGAATCAGAAAAAACAATGATAGGATAAAAAAGAGAATGATAGGATAAAATGATAGGACAAAAATGATAGGATAAAAATATGATAGGATAAAAAATAATGATAGAATATACTGATGCACTCTTAGTGACATTATTAATAATATGCCTTGAGCCACAGCAAATATGAGGTTTAGATTTGGAGATATGCAAGTACAGTGCTAGGAAGAAAGAGAAACATATGGATCCTTTAAAAACATTTCAGTTTAGAGATTGCTTTTCATTGTTAATTAAGTCATCATGATTTCAAATGACTCTATTCATCAGCTTCAAAAGGAAACACTTTGTAGTGAGCTAGTAAAAGGCTACACTGGCTGGGCAGGAAAATAACACCACCTCAACAAGTGTTGAGTTTGTGTGGGGATAAAATGTGAACAGAACACAATTGAGAGAACAACTATTTTTTGGTGAAATGCGATGTTTTTTTGAACTACTGTTTTATGACTTGGAAGCAGAAGAAATCGCATGCTAATAGAGCTGGCAGACCAAGGCCTGTTTTTAATAAGATCCAGTGAGCCACGTCACAGAGGTCAGTATCTAGAGCTGCCTGAGGCTGGAGGATGCAAAGACTGAACTTTTGCTTTCAGGAGCCAGCTTTGTATTATTGATATTATGCCATTTCTGCCTCTCATAGCCACCCACCGGGTTGATATGGTGTCCTTCTTACTTTACTAATACCGGGCATTAACCCTGACCCCCTTCTACCTAAAGCCATTTCTCTCTACTGTCGGAGTTATCCATTAAACACAGTATTTATCTGCTAGCTAAAGAATTAAGCACACCGTTTTAAGAATGGCAGGTAATCACTTTTATAAATCATTTTTTCATCTGCCTATTCTCATTTCTCATTATTTTCTCCTAATAGAACCCTTATGACCTAGGCCCATTGCTATTGAGATTGTGAATAATATTTGCATTATCATCTTGTAGTTCTTCTTAGTGCTCTTCCTTATGGACCTGATGGTTTCTGTCCAGTCTGTATTGAATGGAATCCCACCTACCATTGCAACCCATCTGTAAAATCTTTCCCATTGAAGTCTTTCCTGAGATGTTCTTTCTATTCAGCCCTTTCTCTTCTGTAGAGTTAGTGCTGGCTTGATGTAGACCCTCATTCCTACACTCAGTGTGGTTTATTACACTTATTTACCATCCCACCAACTCTTCCCTTTATTTCAAATCCATAGGGAAGCACTTATACCGGCTATTACATGAAAGAGCTGACAGAATCTGCCTTACCAGTAGGAACTCAGTAAATGTTAGTAAATCTAATTAATTTCAAGAAGCTAAGAAGAGAGAATATTCATGGTAAATGTCAAACACAACAAATAAGCAGGTGTTTGAAGAGAAACTCAGAAGTAAGTGAAAAGAAGCTTGACCTCAGTGAAAACTGTTAAAATGGATCGTCATTTCTTCCTTATGTAGATGTGAAGATTAAAAGAGTGCCATCATATTTCATATTCGCAGAGATGAGGTCTGGCAGGCACTCTTATGCCCTTGGATACAGTTTTGCAGATTATAAAATAGTACAACTCTTTTAAGGGGCATACAAAATGTAGCTATACAAATTTAAATGGTTATAAACTTTATTAATGTAACTTTATTTCTGAAAAGTTTTTTCCCTAGAATTACCTGAATACCATTTTTCCTAGAATTACCTGAATAAGTCTCACATGTATGTTAGCATTGATAATTCATTAAATAGACCATGTTAAATCCATGTTCAATGCCTCACAATATGCTGTGAATGAAATATATATATTGAAAGAACTGTGGGGGACCAGCAGTGACTGAAAATATAAGAAGTATGAAATATAAATGACCTTTTTTTTGAGAATGTGTGCAAAGACAACCCTGATCCCCTGGGGCATGGCATCTCCACCCCGGGATTGGTGATCTCTCCATGGAACACAAGTGAGGCACATAATTAACCTCAGTTTGGGGTGGAACATAAGGGGGCGCTAGGGATGCACAGGTAGCCCATTGGTCTTTGTTTGGCACCATAGATAAATTCCTAGGGGTGGGGGAGATAGGAGTCACAGGTAAATTCCTAGGGGTGGGGGATATAGGAGCACCTTGGCTTTACCAGCTACAGTGTCCGGCCTGGGCCAAAAACCTTTCATATCCCGTCTTATAATTATTATTGTGAAAAGGACAAAGATTTCTCTGACTACTTTCTGCTGGCAGGGGTCACTGTACTGGAGACTAGGGGAGTCAATAGGATGATGGCTGAAGCCCAGTAGATGTTGATGCCAGGTGTTTTAGCCAGAACAACTTCACTGGTGAATGCATGTATGTTAGACTGGAAAAACAAAGAGACAAGATGTTATGAGAAGATATAGCATTGTCATAGTTAAGGACCCAGGTGAGGTAGAAGGAAAGGCACCTTTGATTTAGACATGTCATTATATCAGGACCATGTGGAGGTAGGATTATTGTCATGGTGAGGTAGAATTCTGAAAATTAAACATGGGGTAAGGAGGAGTGAAGTTATGAGAGGTGCTTACTCCCCCATCTGAAAGGGTAAAATTTAAAAGGGTAGGAAGGTAAGGCTTATCTCTGATATGTATGACATTGGAGACTTTAGGAAATACTTTTTTAGAGTCCTGCTGTAAAAATGATCATTAGTAGAACATAAGAAATTATTGTCTGTGATACTACAAACTATTTTGAAAAAAATAAGAGTGTAATAGCTAGCGCTGATTTAATATCATCCTGTTTTGAAGCCCCATCAAGTTGTTGTTGATTTGTTTCCATTGGTTCTAACATGTTGTATCTTATTATACCTTAATGTATGTGATAGTATAAGCAAGTTTTTTATAGACAAAGAGATAATATACAAATTGATAAAAAAAAAGAAATTGATGTTTGGTTTCTGTTAGCTGGTTCTAAATATGCTACAATAATTTCATTCTCTTGAATGGTTTTATGGTGTCTTGATAAATTTGATGCTATAGTATATGAAGTTAGACTCAAATATTTCAAGGGAAGAGTCACTATAGTAACTACTATTAATGTCAATCTACCTGGGGGTGAAACAAATGATGCTTAAATTTTTCAGTTCTGACCATTGTTGTTCTATTGGTATGTTCTTTTTAAATCTCAGTCTCCCCCACTTTTTCTTTCCTTTTTTTAAAATTAATTTATTTCTTAGTGTCTTTTAACTAAGGGAAAACTAAATTTAAAATAGTGTGATAGATTATAGTAATTTTTTGTCTCCCTATTAACCTGATTTGAACCCCTGTATTGTTTTCCACATCTTGTTCTGACTATTCTATTATATTCTGTTTTACTTAACAGTATCAAGTTTGAGGGTATAGGCAACCATTTGGAAGGTAACCAGATATTCTATGATGCCCATTATTATTTGACTATTATCTTCTTTGGAATCCTGTAAGCTCTGCAATGTGGTTTTATTGGTTCTATGTACAGTTTTGTTCAATTCGTTTATGCCAGCTGATATAGGCTACTCTTTTTAGGATAACAAGAGGCATAATGGTAACAATTGTTGATCACCTAGTAATCCTTTTTTTTTTTTTTCATTTTATACTATGTCCAT